ATTTCCTTTCTACGAATAATAATATCCTCCTCACGATTTTAGTTTTCTATGCAGCCTCCAATCTAGGCTGCTGACTTTTGAAAAGGACATAATTAATTTCATTTTGTTCATAAAGTCAAGGTATGTTGAAACTATATTCTAGAAAGTTAATTATCAATTAAACTATCTCTTAATTCAATAATTTAATTCACTTGTGCATTTTTTCTTGAAAAATGATTCAAGTACAGGGGAATTTTACCAGATTTTTAACAGGATTTTGAATTCTCTCTCACATGAAGTGGACCCCATGTCTAAAATTTTGAAAAAAAAAAATTTTCCCCCCCAATGTTGTCTCTATGCTGTAAGTACAGGGATTTTGAATCCCTGTACTTATAGCATGATCCTTTTTTCTTAGATGTTAATGGTCTGGTTGTTCATGTTCTGTACTACTTTACTGTTTGCCCCCCATTTATTTGCTGAATTATTCTTCTTGTACCGGGCCAGTCAGGGGGGTTGTATAACCCCCTGTACAAATAGCAGCTCTCTTATTTGCTTTGTAGTTACAAGATTTAAAACCCTTTGAATTCAAAAGCACTGTTTCCCAAGTGTAAACAGTACCTAATATCCCCAAGAACATCGTCAATCATCTAAAACTCAATGGATCACTCAAAATCAAAAACACCAAAAGAAAACCTGAAGAGGAGACAACACAGAGGAAATTTCTTTAGAGCGAGAAAACAGACAGTTCAGAGATGAGTGGTATAACCTCTTAGGATGATTATAGATGCTGTTTTGGCGTATGGTGTTGGCTAATCGATGAGTCATGATCAATGGTGTACATTTAGACACGTGGCACAATCGTATGCGGCGTTGTGTTTCTTGGCTAGCCAATAGTCATTAGACCAAGCCGTAGTGTAACCCAACACATTTCTACTAATAAATGAAAATATTTACTGCTTTCCTTATTTTCATTCTATATAAAAAGACGAATGATTATAACTGTTTTAGTATTTTATAGGTAGATTTCATAAATAAATGAGTTTGGAGAGGTGTAATGAGCTTAAACGACTGAATAAAACAAATGCTAATTAACTATATCACCTTGAAGCAGGGGCGGAGCTAGACTTTGAATGTAGGGGGGGCCTAGAGGTACAGGTGAAGTGGTGGGGGCCCACGGGGGTT